GAAGTAATTTTTATTTCAGATTAGATAAACTATTTTTTTGATTTAATGACTTTTTTACACTTGTGATACTTGTTATTTTTGGATAGACTTTCTCATTAACTACTTATTCAATAGCAAATAAAGTCTTTGAATTTTATAATGTTTCATGGATCTTCAAAGTTAAAGAATGTATTCTTTTTCATATCCTAAAAGTCATATTTTTTTCTTGCAAAAATAGGCACCGCAGTTAATGATGTTTGATATTTTGTTGTCATGGGTTGAAAAAATATTTTAAAAATAATATAAAATGAAGTTATATTTTTTTACATGTAATAAAAATTAAACATAAACATAATAATTATATTCTAATAATAGTTAGAGTTAGTTTAAAAAAAATATTTAATAAAAATGTGAATTTTAATAAAAATTTTAGTATAATATTTATATAAAAATTAAATTTTATTTCTGTAGAAAGAGATAAAATTGTTCTATTTTGAAAAAATTATAATTGAATAACTAAAATTAAGATGGAAACACACAATAACACTTACTTAACACATTATATTAATAGTACAAAAATAAAAAGAAAACAAAAAATTACAAATTAATACGTGAGAAGATTGTTTACCTTATTTAAACACATGAAAGTGTGGAAGTGAATTTGGACATATCTCATGGCACTATCATTTCCCACATAATTAAAATTTATAGATTTTATATAATATTTAGAGAGAAGTTCCCATGAATACACTACTTCTCATGGCTGCTAAATTAATATGCATATACCATTATTAGGCTTATTGCTTATTGCAAGAGTACATAATAATTTATTCTTTCACCTTCTCATCCCTCTTAGATTAATAAAATTTAATTAATGTGAATGTCCAACAACATTTATTTAATTAACACAATAGATTACATTGTTCCTATGACAGAAGCAAGTAATTGATGATGAGAATTAGTGGATGTTAGGAGATGATTGGGAGAAGGGTCTGTCTGGACCATGAGATTGTCTTCCCAAAATGTTTTATATTAACAAAATATAAATTTGAAATTTTTTCTTAAACTTGGATGTTATAACAGTGACAAAAGCTCATGAGAAAGAATGATTGTAGAAGAAGTTTCAAGATTCAGAAAGGACATCACTCATAACAATAATATATATATCTTTGGTTTTATGAATATCTATTACACATTTATTTCTTTTTTTATCTCTTTTTTTTATCATATTATATATTTTATAAATATATTACTTTTTTTTATCATATTATATATTTTTTTATGAATATCTATTACACATGAATTATTTTTCTACTTTTATTTTGCGATGAAGATATAGTATGTTTCTAAACATGTGTTATCTAAATACGTAATTTATTTTAAATATCTATTTCAGTAATTTGATATATTATTGTTTTTGTCCCTTTCATATAAGCATTCATTCAAAATCTATTATGTGAAATCTTTCTTATAGTTTCATTATGTTGCGGACATTTGTTTCACATATTTTGTCTACTTTTGGAAATACGAGGATGAAAACATATATCTCATATGTTATGAAAAAATAATCTTGATTATGTTTATTTTAAAATCGTTATAGTCTCATAGGTTTAGATAGATTTATTTTCATAAAAAGAAAAGGTGAATACACATTCTCATGAAATAGAAGTTATGGTCTACCATAACTAGTTACACACTACATTCTTCAACCTTTCTTTTTAATTTTCTTTTCAATTTATTAATTTCTATGTATTTTATCTAAACTAATTTCACATGAATTGGTGAATCTTAAAAAAAAAACTCCATTAAAGAAAAACGAATCTACAGAAAGGTATACAGAGAGAAAGGAAGTATCAAGACTATTCAATAAAAAAAAATTGAATCTTTCTTCATTTTATTAAAGAGGTGACAAAGTCTGCATAGAAAGGTGGTAAAAATTACCCTTTAGACAAAATCCTTAAAATCTTAATTTTTTTAATTGTCATCTACAGCATGACAGATATTCAGGAAAATGAAAAATTACATTAAAATTAATGAGTCTCTCTTTTCTATTTGCTGTTCAAAAGGATTACACGTAGCCAAGTGAAAGATTACAGTTAAATTTAGTATGAATAAGTACTCAGGATCCTAAGAAGCACAACTTTTCTTATGATTTTCATTCCTTATTTTGAAAAAAAGTATCCACAATTGGTGGCTTCCTCATTTGTTCATGATAGTAACTGACAAAACAAAAGCAATTAATATCTCCTTTCTCAATCTCCATATTTAGAGAAATGATCACTGAATTATATAAACATTTTCTGAATCTATAAGAGAAACAACATTAAAACAAAATGTTAATTAACAAGATATAGAGAGAGGTAAAAAGGGAAAATTAGAACAAATTTTCCTCGTTTTATTAATACAGGACAAAGTGTGGGTAGTACCAGTAATATGTCATCAAATATATCACAATATGAGGGTCACAGATTGCCCTCCTACAAAATTCTAACAATTTGAACCTTTTGTTTCTATTTGTCTGTCTATAGATGTACAGAAAGATGATCATACGCGTATCTTCAATGAAAGTTTTGAAGAACAGCATGTGAAGACTTCTCATCTACCAAAGTATAATCTATTCACTGTAATCTATCTATTCACAATCCTCACTTCTAATGATCAGTATCTCTTTCGTCTTCCCTTGATTCACCATTCAAAATCCCTCTTTAAACAAGGCCGTTGTGATGTCAGCCAGATTTGCATTCCATCTTGACTTTGATTTTCTCAATGGCGCTTTTGGAGTTTCAATTTCCTTAAACACATCTGCATTATCCAAATCAGAAGGATGAAGAAAAGCAAACGTTTTCTTCTTTGGGGTACTATACTCAAAATGTAAGTCCTTTGCTATCAGAGTCTGCAATAGATGAAAACCCAACAGTTACAAACTGGAATAATCANGTTGAAAAAATATTTTAAAAATAATATAAAATGAAGTTATATTTTTTTACATGTAATAAAAATTAAACATAAACATAATAATTATATTCTAATAATAGTTAGAGTTAGTTTAAAAAAAATATTTAATAAAAATGTGAATTTTAATAAAAATTTTAGTATAATATTTATATAAAAATTAAATTTTATTTCTGTAGAAAGAGATAAAATTGTTCTATTTTGAAAAAATTATAATTGAATAACTAAAATTAAGATGGAAACACACAATAACACTTACTTAACACATTATATTAATAGTACAAAAATAAAAAGAAAACAAAAAATTACAAATTAATACGTGAGAAGATTGTTTACCTTATTTAAACACATGAAAGTGTGGAAGTGAATTTGGACATATCTCATGGCACTATCATTTCCCACATAATTAAAATTTATAGATTTTATATAATATTTAGAGAGAAGTTCCCATGAATACACTACTTCTCATGGCTGCTAAATTAATATGCATATACCATTATTAGGCTTATTGCTTATTGCAAGAGTACATAATAATTTATTCTTTCACCTTCTCATCCCTCTTAGATTAATAAAATTTAATTAATGTGAATGTCCAACAACATTTATTTAATTAACACAATAGATTACATTGTTCCTATGACAGAAGCAAGTAATTGATGATGAGAATTAGTGGATGTTAGGAGATGATTGGGAGAAGGGTCTGTCTGGACCATGAGATTGTCTTCCCAAAATGTTTTATATTAACAAAATATAAATTTGAAATTTTTTCTTAAACTTGGATGTTATAACAGTGACAAAAGCTCATGAGAAAGAATGATTGTAGAAGAAGTTTCAAGATTCAGAAAGGACATCACTCATAACAATAATATATATATCTTTGGTTTTATGAATATCTATTACACATTTATTTCTTTTTTTATCTCTTTTTTTTATCATATTATATATTTTATAAATATATTACTTTTTTTTATCATATTATATATTTTTTTATGAATATCTATTACACATGAATTATTTTTCTACTTTTATTTTGCGATGAAGATATAGTATGTTTCTAAACATGTGTTATCTAAATACGTAATTTATTTTAAATATCTATTTCAGTAATTTGATATATTATTGTTTTTGTCCCTTTCATATAAGCATTCATTCAAAATCTATTATGTGAAATCTTTCTTATAGTTTCATTATGTTGCGGACATTTGTTTCACATATTTTGTCTACTTTTGGAAATACGAGGATGAAAACATATATCTCATATGTTATGAAAAAATAATCTTGATTATGTTTATTTTAAAATCGTTATAGTCTCATAGGTTTAGATAGATTTATTTTCATAAAAAGAAAAGGTGAATACACATTCTCATGAAATAGAAGTTATGGTCTACCATAACTAGTTACACACTACATTCTTCAACCTTTCTTTTTAATTTTCTTTTCAATTTATTAATTTCTATGTATTTTATCTAAACTAATTTCACATGAATTGGTGAATCTTAAAAAAAAAACTCCATTAAAGAAAAACGAATCTACAGAAAGGTATACAGAGAGAAAGGAAGTATCAAGACTATTCAATAAAAAAAAATTGAATCTTTCTTCATTTTATTAAAGAGGTGACAAAGTCTGCATAGAAAGGTGGTAAAAATTACCCTTTAGACAAAATCCTTAAAATCTTAATTTTTTTAATTGTCATCTACAGCATGACAGATATTCAGGAAAATGAAAAATTACATTAAAATTAATGAGTCTCTCTTTTCTATTTGCTGTTCAAAAGGATTACACGTAGCCAAGTGAAAGATTACAGTTAAATTTAGTATGAATAAGTACTCAGGATCCTAAGAAGCACAACTTTTCTTATGATTTTCATTCCTTATTTTGAAAAAAAGTATCCACAATTGGTGGCTTCCTCATTTGTTCATGATAGTAACTGACAAAACAAAAGCAATTAATATCTCCTTTCTCAATCTCCATATTTAGAGAAATGATCACTGAATTATATAAACATTTTCTGAATCTATAAGAGAAACAACATTAAAACAAAATGTTAATTAACAAGATATAGAGAGAGGTAAAAAGGGAAAATTAGAACAAATTTTCCTCGTTTTATTAATACAGGACAAAGTGTGGGTAGTACCAGTAATATGTCATCAAATATATCACAATATGAGGGTCACAGATTGCCCTCCTACAAAATTCTAACAATTTGAACCTTTTGTTTCTATTTGTCTGTCTATAGATGTACAGAAAGATGATCATACGCGTATCTTCAATGAAAGTTTTGAAGAACAGCATGTGAAGACTTCTCATCTACCAAAGTATAATCTATTCACTGTAATCTATCTATTCACAATCCTCACTTCTAATGATCAGTATCTCTTTCGTCTTCCCTTGATTCACCATTCAAAATCCCTCTTTAAACAAGGCCGTTGTGATGTCAGCCAGATTTGCATTCCATCTTGACTTTGATTTTCTCAATGGCGCTTTTGGAGTTTCAATTTCCTTAAACACATCTGCATTATCCAAATCAGAAGGATGAAGAAAAGCAAACGTTTTCTTCTTTGGGGTACTATACTCAAAATGTAAGTCCTTTGCTATCAGAGTCTGCAATAGATGAAAACCCAACAGTTACAAACTGGAATAATCAATAATCAATGATCAAACTGAGCAATAATGGACTTAAGAGCCTCCTACTTCTATAACACTTACTGCTTCTCTAATGGTTTTCGACACATGAAAAAGCTGCTTCAGATCTTCATGCTCCACGCTGCACAACACCTGGACCTGCAATTCAAACACCCTCCACGCTTTTAGTCACGAAAACTCATAAAAAAACAAAACCCAAGCTTCAAATTTGCAGAAACCCAGAAATAAAAACTTCAAATTTCTATAATTACCAGAATATCCTGAGGAAGGGCTTCAAGAGGAGACATCTCAGAGATGGAAAGGATTCCACGGCTGCATATTTTCTTCAATGGAGTGGTAACTTGAGGAGAAGCTTCCACATCGTTGGAAACCACGACCCTCTTTCTTCCCAGTGTTAGAGTATTACTGTAATCCGCAAGCCCAATTGCCATATCTCCGAGCACAAACTCAACAACAAAAGATGTCTCTTTTCTGCTGCAATCTGCAATACCCAACAACAAAAATTCCCTATTTATCAGCCATTAACGCGAACTCGTGAGGAACATTATTAGACTGTGAATACTGTAGGAGAAACAATCAATTTTTCCCCGAAAGAGTCTCATGGGAATTGTCATTAAAAAGAGAAAAGAAAAATTTTAAAACAGATATAGAAATCAAACCTACAGCGATTTGAGGGAAAAGTGCTAGATTGACTAGGGTTTCTATTTCTGATTTCAAAAGGAAATTGAAAATCACAAATCGAGAAAACTGCACAGTTGGTTATTTGGTTGAACTTCAAGTCAAAAATGATAGGCACATTTATATGAGTCCTAGAAATGCTTTTTAAGCATTTAAAAAGAAAGGTTATCAATCAGAAATTTTAATTAAACCTAAAAATTATAGAAAGGAGAAAATTAAGGCAATTTCAGCAGTCACTTCCAATCATCTAATTGGCAGTTAAAGAAAGATGATAAAACAAAAATAAATAACGGTTAGAAAGAACAGATGGCAATGCAGGATAGGCCGGTGATGATGTGGCAAATTGGTCGGTCAGAGTCGGTGGTAATGTCGGTGTCATCCTACAGAATTCAGTTCTTAGTGGTGGACTGCCATACAGAGGATAAAAGTCTTTAGCCAATAGTGTATAGACACGTGTTGGAATCCAAGGTATTAGTGGTGAATTATCTAATGTGAAGACAATAAAATAAGGCATAGAATAACAATTGAAAAATTCCTAAAACAGCAACCAATTTGTACTTGTGTTTGGAAATTTGAATGTGAGGTTTATTTGACGAGACAGTTCTAAGTTGGCCCATTTTGGCGGCTGGCGGCTTCCTGATGTTTTACCACTGTGTGTAGACAATAAATTATGTTTTTTTATTTATTTAAATTTTCACTGGTAGTGGTAAAGTCAGAATTAGTCAAAGACATGTATGAAGAAGGTGATATAAAAAACCTTTGAAGAATTTTACTGTTTCTCCATGTAGAAGGTATCATCAAATCTGCAATGGTGATGAGTAGAAAGAAGCATGTGTATCTTATGGGTTAAGGATCCTATGCATAAAAAAAACAAAAACATTTTTTCTTTAATGTTCTCAGATCCATATTGTTGGTAATATAGTAAAGAAAGTTATTTGAAGTTAAGGGGTGACAGATAAAAAATAAATTTTAATAACTTTACTTCGAAAATTACATATTAAAATTATATTTAATTTAAATGTATTGTTTTTGTTTTTAAAATTATTTATTAAATTTTATTATTGCACTTAACTCATATATATATATATATATATATATATATATATATATTACATAATTAAATAACTTTTACATAGATAAAATTGATATGTTATACATTTTTAGAATACACTGAATTATATTAGAAAAAATATGTATATTGAAAATGAAATATTCATAACTTTTTATTACTGTTAAGTTTTAATAAATTATGAGTAAAAAATACAAAAAATATAATTTAGTGGTTGTACTCACCAAATTTTACTTTATGTATTAGTTAGGGGACATACTTCGTCTAATGTCAAATAGAATAAATATAAATGAATTCCAATGTTTTAAGTCAAATTTTAGGTTGATATTTAGTAAATTAATAAAATTGCATAAAGTAAATTTTGTTTCATAATATTTGTTACCCATGACTTCTTTTATAAATACTGGTGCAAACATACACATATTCGTAGATATATTTTTTTTTATTATTAGTGAAAATATATGCATTTTTTTTTGTGATATAAAATAAAATATTATTATATTATTTTTATTAGAAATAACCAATTGAGTTTAAAGAGACAAACTTAAAAAATAAAATAATAAAATAAAATATATTGATAAGACTAAAATTGATAAAAAAATTATGTACATTAAAATAGTAGTTACAAAATTATTATACAAATAAATTAGAAATATCTTTACAAAATTTTAAAAATAAAATAATAAAATAAAATATATTAATAAAGCATAAATTAGCTTACAATAAAATAACAGCTACAAAACAAAAATATATTAATAGATATATTTCGGTTAAGAAATTGTATATTTACGTATTTTATTAAATATTTTTTATTTATTAAAAAATAAATTTATATAATATAATATTAAATATAAATTATTAAAGTATATTAATTTAAAAATGAAAATAATATATATTTATAAAATTAAAAAAAATAAATAAAGTATACTAATTTTAGTTTTTTTTTAAAATAGACAAATTTTACAAAGGATAAAATTTATTTGGAAGAAATATGTTTGAAAAAATATATTAAAAGAAAAAATATCTCAAAAGAAAAAGAAAATTTAAAACATTTTTATGTCTTTTATAGGTATAAAATAATATTAAAAATTGAGTATTACCTTATACAAAATGGGAAGTTTAGTATAAAAGGAAAATATTTAAAAATACCAAACCTAGGATTTGACTAGGAAAAAAACTATTCTCAACATAAAAGGAATTTTAAAAAATATTAATTTTTTTCTTTTAAATTGTAAAAATAAATGTTAAGTATGATATAATTGCATATAAAACAAGTAATATGTTATTATGTTTACATTTAAAAGCAATAACTTCAAATTCGTACTCTTAAATTAGACATGATAATTATTCCATCTATTGTAAATGGTAATAAAGTTATAGGAGTTGATAGTTAAAAAAAGGACGGAAAAAGGAATTGTGACAGTTTTACCTATCCTGACACTTATTTATAATTTTTTATAAAATAAAACACCCAAAATGTAATGCTGTTAGTTTTCTAAACTAATTATTTTCACTAATATACATAATTAAAATTTTAAAAATTGTGAGAAAGGTAACCTTGTACGTATTATAAAATCTGTTGTCAGTATATTCATCTTATATATAATTAATATTATGAATCAAATTATTTTTATTCAAAATTCATTTTTTAAGGGGAATCAGTGTATAGATATAAATGTATATATTTTTAGTTGTAAAAATACAGTAACATGAGTACAAATTATTTTATATCATTTAGTTTTTTTGTCATTTGCAAAATATAAAAAAAAATATTGTAACTTTCTCTCTGCTAAAACCTAACCTAAAAACATTATATATTATTAACATGAAACTCATAGTAATCACAATAATAAAAACCACACACACACACACACACACACATATATATATATATATATATATATATATATATATATATATATATATATATATATTATAATAAAAACACGTAAATAAATAAAATAAAATTTAAAATATTATTAAAATTATATTATTATAAGAAATATTGCATAATTATGTTATCATCAATAGTCGGTGTAATAATAAAAGTGATAAGAAGTTGTAAGGCTGATGATGAGAAGTACAACTGCTGCTGCTACTAATAATAATAATAATAACAAAGTAACAGTAACAGAGATTACATATAATTTATATCAATTCTAAGTATTGCATTATGATGTGAACCACAATATTAATGCCATAACTATTATGTTCATTAGTAGTAATAATAATCTCAAGAGTTAGTGATACTAAATTATTTTCTACATCAATCTACTCTCTGCAATCATTTTGCTAATTTTTTTTACCTTGATTTACATAATCAACTTACAATAAAAAAAATAGTCATTTCATTATAATAAAAATTTCCATGTTTTTGTATTTTTTGTGTTTTGAACTAGAGTCTTGATTGTGTTTGGGCTTATAGATGTAGAGACCATATTACAATAACCTATTTATATCAACTTTTTTAAAAATTATTTAATTCAGTAATTTATAATTAAAATTATTCTATTTTAACATTTGTTATCAATGTATTCATATGAGATTTTTTTTTTCAAATTTGTAGAGGTTTCACTCTCCACAAATTAATTTGTAATAGTTTTTGAAACCTTTAGGGTGAAAGTCACCACAATCAATTTAAAAAAGTTTTTCGCCATCCTAATATCTAATTTATATTACATTTTTTTTTTGGAAAAGATTTTAACCTCTTTTATAAAATTTTACGAGAAAAGATATGTAAAAAATATAAAAGAAAATGGAAAAAATTATTATAACTTGAGGAGGTTGTAACACTTTTTATAAAATAATTAAAACTTTTATTATTATTGTCCTTAGACAGTCTAACAAAATTATTATTATTGTCCTTAGACAGTCTAACAAAATTTTTTATAATTTTGTAAAATAATTTCTACTAGATAGTATTTTTTTAGTGTATTTGAACTATATTTAAATATTTGTGTCTTAATTTTTATTATGAATTATTTTATGTTAGGTGATAGTTGTAGTTGTGTAGTTAGCATGATCTAAATAAGATAAAAGTAGACAAACTACATATAAATGGTTTTGATTGGTATTTTGTTTTAAGTTAGATTATTTTTTCTAGTCAATATATTTTTATTTTTATTTTGGAAATGTATATTATTATCAGTTAAAACATTAACGTATTTTAATGGAGTAACACACAAATTTAGTATAGATTTGAGAAAAAAAGAACTCAAAAGTCAATATTACGTAAGTTGCTTTTAACTTACGTATGTTATATTATGTTAAAAATTTTAAAATATGTAAATTTACATTTCTCACAAATAAAAGTAATAAAATATTTTGCTTTTATATTAGTGTGAAAATTAAAAAATTACATAAAACTTAAACAAACGTACAAGAAATAAAAGTATGGACACAACTATAAATGTATTCCTTGAATATATATATATATATATATATATATATATATATATATATATATATATATATATATATATATATATATATAACGATGTGAAATTTAATAAGATCACTTACAAAATTCAATCTAATTCTCATTTAAAATTGTGTATGTATGGAATGACTTTCAAGATCTAATTAAACATAAATATTATAAACATAGTTATCAAACTCTCTTGAGTTAACTCGTAAACTCTTACGAGATTTCGTTTCGAGACATGGCTTCCGAGTTAACTCAGAAGTAAACTCATTTTCTGCGTAAACTCGATGGCTTCCAAGTTAACTCGGAAGTAAACTCATTTTCTGCTTAAACTCGATATAATCGAATGTGAAACTGGTAGGATCATGTAAAATCGTCAATTTGAAGCGATTCTGCAAGCTTGAAAGTTATATATTTAATAAAATGCATCAAAATTAATGACAATAATTCATGTATTTATGTTTTATAATATTTATTTTTATGAACAATATAACTATAGTTTATTTATTTAAAGTTATATAATTTTGTAAACTTTAAATTAAGATATTATTTATATAATCTTTTTCATCTGAAGTAAACTCTTACGAGTTTATGTGCACGAATTTAAATAAACTCTTGAATTTGATAACCTTGTGAATATCACATCTAAGCTCCTTTCTATATTCACAGTATTATTTATAATGGATTTCAAAGGAGTTTTTAAAACTTGTAA